GTCCTTCAGCCTGTGATGGGAGGCAGGTGACGCATATGCCGGTTTTGTACTTTTGCGTACCGGCACACACGATGTACTAATTTGTGGACCCTCGATTCCCAGCGCATTTGACGGTTCAAACTCGCATTCCCTCCATAAGTAGAAGTCCTCACTATGCCAATATCTCATTAGCCATCCTAGCGCCGCTGAAACTTACTTTCCGAAACGCAGCTTCTTTCTTGACTTACAGCAGAAAGGATTGCTTCAATAACCAAGAACAAAGGACACCAGCCTCCTTTTTCGGTCACTGCCACTTGTAAACTCACAATGGCCAGAGATAGCACAATTATCATTTCGCATGGCCAGACTATTTCTTGAAAGTGGCGCTTGTTGAATATAACTAGCTTTTTTACTTTCCTCGGAAATCGATCTCTAATTCGGATTAAATCAGTATGCTGTAGGGTTCATAGAGGCAAACTGATTTCCTCCAATTTAGCGACTAATTGATGAGGAAAGTAAAAAGCAACCACTGCAAAACTGAAGTTTCTTCCAGAAAACACACGGGAACCCTGGGGAATCCACTGGTGAGCCGAACTCCTCGCAGCTGTGTCATACAGGGGCTGATTATCGGCGAAACACGCCCGTCTGGGCTTTTAGTTGGGGCCCCTGCTGCCAGTATGTAATAACCCGCAATCCAATTATAAATAAAACTAATTGTATTTTAGGAGGTTAATAAAAATTACACAGTTATCCCGCAGTGACTGATGGATCTCAGTCCAAATATTCATAAGAAACTTACAGTCCGTGCCTATATCGCAGGAGGTGATGTAAGTTAAACCCTAGCAAATGCGATCTTCAAGCCCGGTTTCTCAGGAGAAGAGCAGACATGGGAGGCCAGAGTGAAAGGAGAAGTTTACTCTTTATGAAAGGACATGAAATATAGGCAGCAGGAATGTTTGGCTGTCAGACTAGCGATCAAACACAGCCGGCCACAGCGCCGCTGGAATCGCCACAGCGTCTGGAACGGCCTTTGTGTGAGTCGACCTCCACAAGGGATTGGTCAGGTGGATTGGCCAAACAGACTGGCATAGGCGGCTAGTGCGCGTGTACTCGTTGGCGGCATTGAGCCTTGGCACATGCTTGCATGCGCGGAGGGAGTCACCACATATACAGACTTATTTATTCAAGAACTAGCTTCGTTTACCAATGGCTACCGAATATATTCGAAATTGCGGTAGTCGTTGTGCGCCCTATGTAAAACTGTAATTCGGCAAACAAGAATAACTATGGCTACTGGTTCCAGCTAAGTGGCACGCCTTAGGCTGTTACGCCCCTGGGCAGTCGATAAGGACCAGTCACATATTAATGGCTATTCGGTCTCTGGCAGATGTCGCAAGTGTTTCCACTTCAATTGCTAATGTATGTCACCTACCTACCGCATCGGCTACTTCTTCAATTGCACGTTAAACCACTAACAGCATGCTGTTTATTGTTAATACGTACTCAAGACTGCTGACTCTTGAGTAGCAAAGTAGAGCAATCGGTTCAGAAACAAGAAGTTTACTTGCCGGACGTTTTGGATTTTGCCGAGAACCCTTCATCAGAGGTAACCGTAGAATAAATTGGTACATACACAGATAAGGGTGATATACACAAAATGCGTAGTGTTTATATTTCGTAGTGGCCACGCGACCGCATGCGCGCTATAATTAGCAATTCCACTAGCCACAGTAATTGATGCGCTGACGGCTTGGCAGTCCGCTTCCTAGTCATTAATTGCCGCAATTTTGTCATCCGTGTTGGATACCGGCGACAATGCGCGAAAATTATGTAAGCAGTCGTCGGAGTTGTTGTTGGACCCGGCCCTTTCCGCGTGACTGATTCTCCTGCTCAGACAATATCTTAATATGGGAACGGCAAGTCGTCGCGCTTGGTGCTTAACTGTGGGCCTGAGAACCATATCTCGAGTTACTCGTGGCTCACGCGGTTTTCACCTTCTGCGCGGATTACGGCTTCGTTGGACTTTTAAATATGTCCGAGTGTCATCGAGTGAGCTGCAACCCGAGCGTTAGTGTCTTTCCTCCTCATCATTGCTGCGTGCTCGGCCATTCGCTTCCGGAGTACTCTTCCGATTTTTTCGACATAATTGCTTTGTCTAAAACTGCACTAGATCCGGTAAACGTCTCCGGCCTTCTCCTGTCGCGGCAGTGTGTCTTTCAGTCTCACGACCCGGTGCTTGATGATTGCTTCTGGCCTGTGCGCAATTCCAACTCCAAATGTGTTGAGACGGCAGCTGACTGTTTCCGATGCATTCTTCACGTACGGAAGAGGTCGCCAAACTCTAGGGCCGGATGAATTTGGCTTCTTGTTCCGACGATCGCGTCTTCTA